GAGACGCTTCGAACTAGGATAATCAAGTTGAGAGAAGCAAGAGGACTCCGTATGTTCGTTCAGAGGCAAAGTAGCAGCAGGTTGACTGACACATACTATGAAGCTACGCCAACAACCCAAATCGGGCCTGTCCTTCGACCAGAGGTTATGCTCAGACCAACACCTCAGGATCCGGTACGTGCTGTTGTTATGGGAAAGGCAGCTTAGCTGATGAACCCTCTTTCCCAAGACGTTACACTGGGCAGAGCAGATCTTCTCTCTTCCGCTCACCTCCCGGACGGCTTTGAAGCACATCAGACCATCGACAGCTTATGGTCCTTTCCAAACGTGGGGACAACTGAATATTCCCAAACAGATCAAGATGCTGTTCAGAAGGTACATGTGCTCGCAAATCATAGCTTGACGAAATTTTTCTGACGCCAGAACTAAGACCGTTCGACGAGGATCGCCTTGCGTTGATGACCTATCTAAATCATGTCAACGAGACCCCCTACTTTCTCCTCCGGACATATCATTTGGGGGGCCAGTGGTTCTCACTACTTGGTACCCACGAAATCTTCATGAGGCGGGAGGGCAGCGCCTTACTACTGGACCGATACAGTCATTCGCAGATGGGCGTCAAACTATGGGCATCTCTCTACTTCAAGACCTGGGAGGGTCTGTTCACCCTCGTCCGACTTGTCGTTTGACCATCCGCTGATGTTTCCCAGAATTGGTCTTGTTCCACTGCACGTTCGTCTCTCTCAAGGCTCGAAATATCTTGACGAGCAGAATGAGTCCAAGGGAGTTCAAGCTCGGTAGTGAATCCCGACTGTTCCAGGCGTGCGTGATCCACCCAGTATTGCACCTCCGGCCATGACACCATATCTAACACCTTTTACCGCAGCCAAATCCGTGATGATGGCTTCAAGCATTCTCTCATCGTCTACCGCGACCTCGTCACCCAAGGTCTTCGTCTCCAAGCTTCAGTGTGGGATGGCGAACTCAAGAGTTGTCCAGTCTGGACCGCTTTCGGTAAGATCCTGCTACACCATCTTCCATCCTCACTCTGGCTCACATTCCGGTTTTTTTCGGGCTTGAGACTGACAAAACACGATAATCTCAGTCACCCACCAATCCGCCTCTCCGACCTGGCTCGTACGCAAATCAGATCACCGCATCTGGCTCAAAGACGTCCAGCTTTACGTCTTTTGCCAACAGTACCATCAGCAGAATCAGAGGAAAGGATCCTCCGCCGGCGCCTTTGAGATCGAATTTGTATCCGATATGGGCGCGACGCGGTTCATTGAGGAAATACAGTCGCAGGCGGATCCCTCCGAGGCATCTACAGACACCATGGAAGCCATCGAGGACGCCAAATGACTTGCAACCGGTGATGAGCTTCCTCGAGGCAAGGGTATATATATATATCCACTCCGACTCCGGACCAATATGGAGCCCCCCTCCACCGACACCTTCCACCCCCAGGACGCTGCCACTCACCGTTTTGCGGGGCACATACCTCGACAGATTTGCGGGACTCGAAGAGTAGGTGAGCAGACATGCACCTACTCTCAGTCCGGCATCTTACTCGCCCAGCCCCTGTCTCCTCCACGTCTTCCCAAGGAAGAACCGCTCTAACGAACTTTGACACGCGCGTCTCCAATTCTTTCCACGATTTTTTTTACGGCAGTCTTGTTTTCCTCCCCTTTTCAGCCTGGACAATGTCAAACGCAGCTTCAATGTATCGCAGAGGATTAGCGAGCAGATGTTTTGTATCTCGGAGGAAATACCCCGGAAGATTGCTCTGAGGGGTACCTTTCTTGCCCAGTTCCGTATGCGTTCCATTGCGTTTCTTGATTCCTCTTTCTCTTTGTCTAATGACTTGACGACCTTTATGATCGAGATTGATGATTACGCGGCACAAAAAATTCACACGTTGAAAACAGCCCAGAGAAGGGGTCAGGGAGGGCACCGTCAAGCAAAAGACTATTGTGTGATTAGGTCAATTGATTCAATTTATGCAAATCGTGTACCATCGTGACATCGTCCACAGCAACCTTGGTGCTGGCCTATCTTCTACTTCTCTATACTGAAGCGTTACTTTTTTGAAAAACTCCCCTCCTTATCCCCCTTTGTCCAAGTGCGACGCAATCATGCAACAATGCACTTAGGTCTTGACATCGGGCTCGTCACGGCCAATGAACTCCTTGAACTTGAGAAGCTCGGTGGCCATCTGGATCTCGGGCTTGAGGAAGTCCTGGGCATCCAGGTCGTACGTCTTGGGGTCGGAGCTGTGCTGCTCGAGGTAGAGACGGATAGTGGCGCCGGACGAGCCAGTGCCGGAGAGGCGGACAATGATGCGGCTGCCCGAGGAGAAGGTGGCGTACAGACCCTGGTTGGAGGAGACGGAGCCGTCGAGATCGGTGTAGGAGAAGTTGCCAGCGCCGGTGACGGTGCGGTCTGTCAAAGTTAGTCTCATTTCATTCTTAAGGGTTCTGATGGGCATTTTGTATGTAGACTTACCTCCAACCTTGCTGCCGATGAAGTTGGGGTCGGCGACGAGGTCCTTCAGGACACCAACAACCTTGTTGGCACCCTCGCTGTCGACATCCTCGTAGTCGTAACGGGTGAAGAAGGTACGGCCGTACTCAGTCCAGAAGTCCTGCTGGATCTTCTTGATGGAGGGAGTGACGCCAGGGTTCTGCTCGCCGATACCGGCGATGATGTTCAACCAGGCGACGACAGCCCAGAGACCATCCTTCTCACGGATGTGGTTGCTGCCAGTGCCGAAGGACTCCTCACCGCAGATGGAGAGCTTGTCGGCATCGAAGAGGGCACAGAAGAACTTCCAGCCGGTAGGGACCTCGTAGCAGTTCAGGCCCTGCTTCTTGGCAACCAGGTCGACGGCACCGGAAGTAGGCATGGAGCGGGCCAGGCCGTAAACACCCTGCTTCTTGAAGTAGGGGATGAGGTTGGCGTGGTGGGCGATGATGGCCAGGGAGTCACCGGGGGAGACGAAGGCGTTGGCACCGTAGATCATGTTGCGGTCTCCATCACCGTCGGAGGCAGCACCGAAGGGGATGTTGTTCTTGTCAACGACCTCGACGAGGGAGTGGGCGTAGGTCAGGTTGGGGTCGGGGTGGCCGCCGTTGAAGTCGGGGCTGGGAATGCAGTTCTGGGTGGCGCCCTTGAGGCCGAGTTCCTTCTCGAAGATGGCGGTTCCGTAAGGACCAGTGACACCGTGAAGGCCGTCAAAGAGGACCTTGAAGTCGGGGTTTGACTGGAAGAACTTCTTGATGAGGTCGAAGTCGAAGATGTCCTTGAGCATCTCGATGTAGTCGACAGTGCTGTCGACAACCTCGACCTCGAGAGAGCCGTAGGTCTTGGTGCCGATGGTGGAGATGTCGACATCGGGGATGTTGGCAATCTTGTAGGAGGTGAGGGTCTTGGAGGCCTCGTAGATCTTGTTGGTGACGGACTCGGGGGCAGGGCCACCGTTGGCAAGGTTGTACTTGATACCGAAGTCGTTCTTGGGACCTGAATGGGTTCATCGTTTAGCTGGCGAGTGTGATTTGAAGAATATGCGTAGAGATCTTACCGCCGGGGTTGTGGCTGGCAGTCAGGAGAATACCACCAGTGGCCTTGCGCTTGCGGATGACATGGCTGGCAGCGGGAGTGGACAGAATGCCGTCCTGGCCGATGAGGAGCTTCTTGACACCGTAGGCGGCACCAATCTTGGCAATCAATTGGACGACCTCGGGGTTCCAGAAACGACCATCACCACCGATGACGAGGAAAGAACCTAGAGAGGCGGTCTGTCAGTTTCCTGGGGCGATTGCCAAGACCGAAAGCTGAGATGGCTTTGCTATTTACCCTCGACGCCCTCGGGAATGGACAGGAGAATGCTCGTGACAAAGGCCTCGCTGTAGTGAGCCTGCTGGAAGACGGTGACCTTCTTGCGAAGACCAGAACTGTGGAATGGCCAGTCAGTGATGGGGTTGCTGAGTGAGGGTGCATCGCGCGATTGGCAGCTATGGCGGGGTAGCAACAAAAAGTTGGACTCGACATGTTTGGGGACGATAACAGCGAGGGGTTTGTTTCTGTTAGGGGAGAAATGACGTACGTGCCGGGCTTCTGGTCCTGGAAAGGCTTGAACTCGACAGTCTGGACGTCCATGATGCTGTATAGTTCGAGTAGTGATGGTATTGAGGGGGAGAGTTGTCTAGGTTGTAGAGGAGGAAAAGGAGAATGTTGGGAATGGAGCTGCAATTATCAGTGTCTCTGTCTCGCCTTTGCCTGGGTTCTTTCTTCCGTCTCTCATGCGAACCGGCGTTGGCGTAGGTACGGGAGGTGGGACCGGGGAGTGGTGGGCATTGGGCAAGGGGCCTAGAAAGCTTTCATTGGGAACTTGGTGCGGTGAGAGACTAAGGTATCCGTAGGCCACTGGAAATACCTTAGGTAGCTAATGTGGGCAGAATACGACGCATTGGGGCACCTCAGTGAATGGGAGATGGCACACGATAGGCTCAGATTGCACCTTTTTTTTTAGTGAATAACGCCCCTCCAACCTCGTACACATTGGTGAAGGTACCTTTCATTCCGCCAAAGCTGTGGCCACCACCTCATGGTGGGGGTTTGCTTGGCCAGTGATATCATCCTGAGCCTCGACGTGGGCGGGGTCACCGCACAATGAAGGAGGGGCAGCTCTGGGAGAGCCCCTCACTTCCAAGGGCCCAACACAGGGGATCTTCCCGGCGAATCATCGTGAGGTGCTGGTGGGGGTGGCTATTATTCGCACGGTTTGAAGTGCCTGGTAGACCGGCATTCAGCAGTGCGTAGGATACTGCGTACTGTCTTCAAACGACCCCGCTACCCTTGCGGTCAACTATCGATTCAACTATTTACATTAGCTACCAGGCAATCTTAGGTAAGGCAGGTGAGGCACCTCAAGATATCTCACTCATCCCAGTGCTTCATCAAATTAGAAGAATCGAGCTTGACTCTCTGGATAGTACAATCTACAACAGGTTGTCTGCCCAAGCATCGTCCTCATCCCGTTCACTGACCGGCGTGTCCTGCGCGCTGGCCTGCCCTCTCCACGTCCGGCCAAAAATGGCTTCTCTGTAGTACTTGGCCTCAGCAATGCTCTCGAGAATATCTTCCTTGGCCTGGTGAAGTCCCTGCTTGGCTGGGGCACCGTCCGCGACCTGCGGCGGGCACCAACGTCTTGCCGCCTCCTTGAGCGAGCTGACATCGAGAATGCGATGGTGTAAATGGTCAACCACCTTGCGGTAGGGCGGCTTGTTGAGGAACGACCGGTCCGCGTGTACACTGTTACCCGCCAGCAGCGCCGTCTTCTTCTGCGGGATGTGCTTCTTGATGTAAGCGAGCAGATCGTCGGCAGCCTGCTCAGGTGTCGTCGTCGACTTGATGACCGCCGCTGTGAGGCCGCTGTCGCCGTGTGTCTTGGTGCACCAGGCGTCCATCTGCGCCATGCGTTGCTCCGTCTGGTGCACCACGCAGCCCCAGCCCTCGGGGTCAACGACTTGCAGGTTCCCGGTGGTGATGATGCAGAAAATCTCGATAATCTCCTCCTTGTCCGGATCCAGTCCAGTCATCTGGGGATGTGTTAGTCAGTCTAGGGTTAAGAGTGGCATGCCTGAGCTTGGGGTACATACCTCGCAGTCAACCCAGACCAAGGGGCCGTCAGATGCAGACTGCATCTTCGGGGCGGGAGCTTTGTTTTTGAGGGAGTTGAGAAGATCCATGGTTCAGGCGGGAATGATGTTGATATTGATTCTAACTCTTGTCAACTTGAGTTGCACTCCGTCAACAGCAGGATCTTCTTTTGGGCGTGCTAAGCTTGACTGAGCCACAACTTCACCAGAGTTGGAGTACAAGGTGGGGTGCAAGCTGCAGCATCCCAGGTGTGACTTCCAATTAGGTATTGAATGGAAGGAGGACCAAGATGCACGGAGTACCATGCGATCCTAGCAGTGCCAGCCGGGCGTTCTCAATGCTTCCTTTCGTTCCATGGCCACCACCTATGTACATAGTAGGTACTCACTGCTATTGCTATTGCTAGTGGGAACTTCTCCGGGCATGTTTTCTACCAGCGTATAATTTCATACGAAGTTATGAAGATGGTTCAGGTAAACCCTGGGAATACAGGATGCATCAGCAAAGTACCTGGCATATCAAAGCTCCTACTATTGCTGCCCACTCCAATTGCCCAGGCAGGGACGTCTCACCGCCAGAACTGCCCGCAGAGAAAGATGCCCCACATCGGCAGAGGAGGAAATTCAACCGACAGCCGCTGATAAGATAAGTAAACTGCCAAGAACCAAGGCAAGTACCCCGGACCACGATTCAAATAAACCATCATTCATTGGACCTGCCCTTCTACATGGACCCCACTTTCCATGTTGGAGCCAGTACTCCAAGTAACATAAACCTCCTTCTTTCACCTGACTGACTTCTGTTCATTGACAACATCCCTCATACCCTATTTACCAAAAGACAGCGTGTTTTCCGAGTTTCTCAGAGAATATAAACTTGTCAAAAAGTAAGAAAAACTTCAACACAGGGTTCTCCTGTCACCGACAGATCACACTTCAACGATAACGACCACGACATGTCGTCCGTCAAGAAGTCGGGTTCGCCCGTCGCGGTCCCTGAAGATGCAACTCCAGTGCCACCTCAGAAACCTCCCATGTCTGTTTCGCCACCTCGCATTCTCGTCATCGGAGCTGGCTCTCGTGGACAAGCATATGCTCATGCTAACGAGACCTCTTGCAACGGTATCGTGGCTGCTGTCGCTGAACCCATCACCTACAAGCGTCAAAGCTTCGGTCGAACATTCGTTTGGGGCTCCAACACTCCCCAAGAAGGGCAACAGTTTGCCGACTGGACCGAGTTCGTGACATACGAGACACGCCGCCGAGAGAGAGAAGCTGCTGGTGAAGATGTACCGCCTGGCGTTGATGCCGCCTTCATTTGTGTTCTTGACGAAATGCATCGCGACGTCCTCGTCGGACTTGCTCCTCTGGGACTGCACGTCATGTGCGAGAAACCCCTCGCCACGTCTCTTGCCGATTGTCTCGACATGTATCAGGCTATGAAGCCTCCTGCTGGCCAGGAGCCCAAGAACGTCTTCTCTATCGGCCATGTACTTCGTTACAGCCCACACAATATGCTGCTTCGCAAACTCTTGCTCGAAGACCGTGTCATTGGCGATATCCTCAAGATTGTGCACACCGAGCCGGTCGGTTGGTGGCATTTTACCCACTCGTATGTGCGTGGCAACTGGCGGAACGAAAAGACTACGGCACCAAGTCTATTGACAAAGAGCTGCCACGATATTGATCTCCTCCTTTGGCTTCTGAGCGCACCAGTAAAGGCTGGAACAGGCACTCCTCATCTACCGTCCACTGTCTCGTCGAGTGGTTCGCTCCACCTCTTTAGGAAAGGTCGCAAGCCCGCCGCCGCTGGAAATGCAACGAATTGTATGTCGTGTCCTCTAGGTGATTCAGGCTGCAAATTCTCGGCCAAGAATATCTATCTCGGCCAGGATCTGAAAGGTCTCGCTTCTGGCAACACCGATTGGCCAGTCAGCATTGTAATGCCGGAGATTGAAGATTTCCCGATATCTGAGCGAAGCAAAGTCCTGGCATCAAAGCTTGCTGAAGATTATGATGATTCCACCCCCAAAGACGTCGTCGCTTCGCGGAACTGGTTCGGTCGTTGTGTCTTCGACGCGGACAACAATGTCTGTGATGACCAGACTGTCACCATCACCTGGGACGATGCCACGGACGGTACCCCAGAGTCAACCAAACAATCCAAATCAGCAACTCTGCACATGGTCGCACAAACGAAAAAGATTTGCGAGAGGTACACCCATATTTATGGTATTGATGGCGAGATCTATGCCGACGCCCGTACAATCACCATAGAGGACTTCAACACGGGTGCCACCCAATCATTCCACCCAACCCTCGAAGACGCCGGCCACGGCGGTGGGGACAAAGGTCTCGCACGTCAATTCATACTGGCGGTGGACAAAGTCAAGAACCACGGATGGACGCCGGAGAAAGCGCAGAATGAATTCATCGGCTGCTCACTTGAGGAGGTAATTCGCTCCCATGCGATGGTATTCGCGGCAGAGGAAGCGCGGACAGGGCAGAAGGTAGTCGACTGGCAGAAATGGTGGTCACAAAAGGTTGCCAACACGACAAGTGATTAAAGGCAAAGCCAGTTTACCTTCGGCGCGTCAGTCTGCGGTAGGGGAGGAATCGGCAGCGGGCGGTCGGTCACAGCCCCGAATGGCATCATTTACATGGCAATCGGAATCAACTCCGGCCCTTGATTGTTGGGTTCATACTGTCTCTTCGTTGTCGGGGACGTAAAGCCGACGGATTCTCCCCGGTTCTCTTAGCTTGCGAAACCATTTCGATTTCAATTGCTAGCCCCGTGAGCTACGCCTCAGTGCGAGATATGTTACGGTGTAGACGGGGTCGTCTGCCGAGGCAGCCAAGGCAGTCCCTTGTCGTTCAGCTCCAAGTCTCCACCGTCACTGCACCCAACATATCTCGTCTGATATTCAGATTGTGGTAGCGTCGAATTTCCACGTTGTCCGATCTGGTCTGACCAACAACATCGTACTGATCTTTGGAACGACGATCGCCACTGGCCTACTATTGGCTTAAGCGGTCTTTGAGGCGCATCTTGACAGACAAGAGCCGCTTTTACCGAAGCTTTCTCTCACTGATCCTATTGCCTTTACAAAGTCCGGGCCAGCCCGACGGCAGCTCCCCGTGTACCTTCTCTGAAGATGAGGAAGTAAAATGAATCTTTCGTACTTTTCCCGGCGGTACAGTCCGCGCTAGACTTTCCTCACGTTGCCGTTCTGTCTATCGACACGGATCAACTTCGTGACACATCTCGCCGATCCACGACAAGCTTTCTGGTAGGAGCTTCTTTTGACTTCGCACAACACGAGGAACCTAGCAAATGTCGCCATTGAGATTTGGAATAAAGGCCAGCAAGCTCGTGGCCGCCTCTCCACAAATGCCTTTTCATTATTCCTGGGGAGATTGCTCCCCGGCGGCCAATTTCCCCGACAGCCTTTGATAGTGCTCGCCATACTTGTGGACCGACGATCTTGCGGTGATCGCGATTCCTTGACTGTCAAATGCACATCGCGGTCTTCCACGACGAGACTGGTCAAAGTCGACTGCCCGATTACAGCTGCTCTCCCCGTCGGTCGATTTCCCCGACAGCGAAGATACACATGCCCGTTCCCTGGTGATCCCTAACTGCCGACTGAGACTTTAGTGTCGCGGTCTATCGCTGCCAGACTATTCAAAGCCGACGTTCCGATCTCCTATGTCTTCCCGGCGGTCAACGTCCCCGTTCCAACGACAATGATACGTTTGGGGCAGTCGGGGGATTCCCGAAAGTTGATTCATCAAGGTTGAGTACGCTCACCTTGGCCTCCGTCAGGCGGTGCATACATGCATGCATACATTCGGCCTTGCCGGAGTTGGTCCCGAGTCCGACATCCCCGCTTGTCGCGGAGCCGTTGCGAAGATTTTTCTGGAACACGGGGCGCCAAAGCGGACAACTCCCCGTTTTTCAGATCAATGTCGGACCGGCGTGCGTGTAACCGCAGGACCCGAAACACCAGCGCGAGCTGAAGCCGCAAGTTGCATGTACTAGGATACGAAATGCCCGCCAACCTGGGGCTATGAGCGATTGCGAGGTATGATTTGATGTTTACACGATCAAGAATCATTGGCCGAGGGAGTTTTCAACTTCGAGGTCTCAGCTCAAAGCCATACACAGTACATTAGGTTGACTTGATGCAGAGAATGCCGCAAGTCCAGCGAGGCTAGTGACCGTTGAACGGACAGTGTTTCTTTGGCAATCCGCAATCGGCCGGATACCGCGGGGTTTCCATACGTACTCGACGCCAAGCGTAGGCAATATAAATTCAAACTCAATTGAGCACTATCTTCAACAAATGCCCCCAGAATCGATCCACAAGGTCACTCAATGCAAGCGGTCAGCTCCCGAGACTTGCAACGACGGTGCTTAGTGATCCTCGTCACGGTGCCGAGTCAGATGAATGCAGTGAGCAATCGCAAGCCAAGCTTCGTTTCACTACGAGCTCCCCCTCTTCACTGGCGAGCTCATCCTTGTCGCTTACCCGTGTTTGTTGAGACAGATAGATACCTGCCAACCTATCGTGGCAGTATTTTTTGCCGCACTTCGGAGTGGATTCTGCGCCTATCTGTCTGCATGGTTCGGAGGATGGGACTCGCAGGACTGCCTTTCACTCGTACGGACGTAAGACATCGCCCATACAGCAGAAGTGGCGTTACCGCGTCGGCACTGCCAGGCGAACCTTTTTTTTTTTTTGGCAGGATTTCCCAACCACCGTGCCTCCGTCACCAACTTCTGACCACTTGGGTTCAAGCCAGGACGAGGACTGCGCATAGTCGATGCAGCCGCGCCCGGCTGGGGTGGCACTGGCACCCCACACCGAATGCCGCGTTTAATTCTCACCAAACCTTATAACGCAGCAAGACAGGTGGAAACATGCAGGCTGGCTGGCAGGATTGCCGCTTCCTGCGTCAGGTGAGGGACAACACTGTTTTTCCTAAGGCAATGCCAGCTGGCTAGGTACTTTTTCCTACTAGCAAGTGGCCTTTTCATCTCTTCCCTCGGCGAGCCGCGAGACACCCCCAAGTCTGTGCGCCAAGGC